AATCAAATTAAAATATCGTCGATGGTTTAGCAATAACTTCTATGTGCAAATTAAAATTTTGTAACCGACTTAAGAAAAGCTTAATATATTAAAAAAAAAACTTACTACCTAATAATAAGTTTCTATTAAAATAACAATGTTTTAGTTTAATTAGGTATTTTTTATGTACTCTTCTAGCTCTCGTTAAAAAAATTAAGAAAACATAGGTATTTATTTTAACTAAGAAGGAAAAAGTTATTTGTCTTCATATTTTAAAATTTTGCAGCTATTGCAAATTAAAATATGCAAATCATGAACCCTGGTTTTATAGTTCTAACTAACTGTAGTTTTCTAAATAAATAAAATACCAATTTTATTGAAATGTTAAGTAATTAATTATTTTAATGTTATACCTATAACTATATTCATTGCATTTGAATCCTACATAGATATAGATATGTTTACGTCTTAATAGCATTATACAAAATATTGGATTATTTTAATTTAAAGCTAAAATTAAAGGCCTTTGGGGGGAAAAGGGAATTTTACAAAAATTAAATGTCTAAAATACCATATATATATACTATAGTCGCGACTTTACCAAATATTATAACTTAAACTGTAAAAGTAACTTTATTTACTTTTAAAATTTAAGTTATAATATTTGGTCAATTCGAGGCTATGGTATTTAAGAAAACTTAAGATTTTGCCAAATTTTGGCTTATCAGTTTCTTTTGCAGAGGTCTCTAATTACACTTTTTTTTTCTTTTTGTTAATTATTAGAGATAGTAAACTTTAAAATTACGGTTCGTTTTTTTATTAAGAATCAGGAAACGTCGCAGTTAGCTACATATGTAGCTAAGTCAATATTGACTTAAACAATTTAAACTGGTGGAAAATATATTTATGGTTGTTTTAAAATTCCATTTTGACTTTAATTTTTAACTATTTTCTTCAACATTTTTGCTAAAAATCTTTATATTATTATTTTATGTCTGGTTAAATATTAATGAAAACTATGAACTGAACAATATTTGTCAAAGAATTTATTAGTAAAATCACAGAATATTAATAATTATTATTACTTTTTCCTTGTTAGTTAAAATAAAAAACTATGTTTTCTTAAAAAATTTTAACGAGAGCTAGAAGAGTAGCTAATTAAACTAAAACATTGTTATTGTAATAGTAAGTTTTATTAAATATGTTAAGCTTTTCTAAATTCGGTTAAAACATTTTAATTTGCACATAGAAGTTATTGCTAAACCATCGACGATTTTTTAATTTGATTCTTTTGTTTATTTTTTAATAAATTAGAAAAAGATATAATTTGGAGTTTGGAGTAATAAAATAGTTTAAAATACTAATGTGTGTGAGAGAAAGAGAGAGAGAGAGAGAATCGTTAAACCATTTTTTCTCCGTTAGACCGAGCGCACGTCTCTCGGACCCCCAGCGCTGCGGCGTAGCTTACGCGTAGGCGCGTAGACATTTCTTTACAAAAAAATTCATAACTACTACAGTTTTTGAGTCCCTCCCAAAAATAAGTAGTAAAAATTTGTGGAAAACTTACGGCTATCATCATGATTTTTTTTTAATTTGAGGGGGCGTTTTTTGGGAATTTAAATTTTAATAAAAGAGAATTTTTGAACAAAATTTTTTGTTTTTTATTTTATCTTAAAGAGCGTCAAAAATATGTTTAAATGATTTTTTTCGAAATTTTTTGTCTTTCGGGTTTTTAAATAATCGAAAAATAAGAGAAGTGACATTTTTATTTGTTTATTATGTAAAACCTACAAAACCTGCATAAAAAAGGTTAAAATTTTAGATTTTTCCATTACTTTAGTTCCTTTATCGACCCTGAAAATTTGAAGCAAATCGGAAACATGAAGTCTTACTCCGACCCCTGTAAAATCTTTATTTATTGTGCCATTTTAACCGGATTTGTGTAGTGTAGTGTAGAACTTAATAAACTGTATTTTTGGAGCAAAAAAACATATTTTTACACTATGCCCACTATGTCAGTTTTTCAGAGTAAATTTTTAAGAATTCATATTAGCGATTTAAAAAAATATATATTCACGGCACTGGATTCACCACCCCTTAAAACGACCCTATACTAAATTTATTTATTGTGCCATTTTAACCGGATTTGTGTAGTGTAGTGTAGAACTTAATAAACTGTATTTTTGGAGCAAAAAAACATATTTTTACACTATGCCCACTATGTCAGTTTTTCAGAGTAAATTTTTAAGAATTCATATTAGCGATTTAAAAAAATATATATTCACGGCACTGGATTCACCACCCCTTAAAACGACCCTATACTAAATTTTATTGAACATTTAATAAAAATAATTACTATTTACAAAAATTGATTCTGTCAAGTTATCCATGAAAAAAACATTAAAATAAAATTATCAAAATCTACACTTTATAACAAATCCGGTTAAAATGGCACAATCGCACAATAATACATAATATATAAATATTTATGTAGAAACCTAACAAAAATTCTTATATTTGAGAATTTTTACTGCCTATCTTTAAATTATTCCAGTTTACTAGAAAAGTATACTGGAGTATACTTAACATCTTAATAAAACCAAGATGATGGATTTTTCATTATACTTAAATTTATTACAAAGAAACCCGCATCCGGTGACCGGACGCGGTCATTGTGACCGCGATAATAGTAGAGGAAGGAGGAAAATTCCTAATTCTTAAGAAGGTGTGGATTGTGATGGAATCCAGAGCAGTTCCGAGTACAAGAAAAAAGTACTCGAGTAAAAGTACAAAGTACAAAAAAATTCAAAAGTACTCACGAGTACAAACATGTAATTTAGGTTTTAGTATCTAGCAAAAAAAATTATTTAAAAAAACTGTATTTTTATATTTCTTTAATACGCGTATTTATTTATGATTTGAATATTTTTTTCCAAATAACCAATTATTTTGATTTTAAACAAAAAAAAATAGGTATTAAAATAGGTATACCTACAACCAAAGTACTCGAGTACCGTAAACACGGGTGACTGTGCACCCCGCGGGTGACTTTAACCCTTTTATGAAAAATCTTTTCGCGCTCGATAAAATTGACATTTATAATTTGTTGGTCTAAACCTGTCAATTGAGCGATTCTATTGAGTTTATATTACAGGAAAATCAGTGTTTTAAAGAAATAAATGGGATTTATTACACTTTAAAATTGTATATATCGCATCAGTGCAAAACACTTAGCAAAATACACGCGTTACAATTTCTATATTATGCGCAATCCTTTGGAATGATGATCCTTGGTTAACTATAGGTCGATTTTTTATTTTTTTTTATCGATAATCCCTTGCAATAGATATATGTCGCTGCTAACATGTGTCTAATAAAAATAAAATAAAATATTGAGTTAATTTTATACGGAAAATATACTGTGAGACAAAGTTACCCGCAACAAGGGGGTAACTTTGCACACCCAGTTTTTAATTTTTATTTTTGAAACTCAGCCCTATGTAATATTATAACATAGTTATTAAGAGCAACTCAAGACTCAAATTTTGGTATACAAAATTTAATGTTTATGATTGTTAAAACCACAAAAATTTTAAGCTTATGTTTAAAAGTGAGCTTATAAGCCACCCGTGTTTACGGTACATCAATATTTGATGTACTCGAGTACAACAAAAGTAGGTACTCGAGTAAATCAAATTTACTCGAGTACAACAAATGTAGGTACCTACTCGAGTACAAAAAAAGTAGGTACTCGTGTCCATTTTCACATTTTTAAATAAAATAAGTACAAGTACAAGTACTTTTTTTTAATTTACTCTGCACTGAGTACCGAATACATAAAAAGTACTTAAATTACAAAATTTGAGTACAAGTACTCGAGTACCGCACAGCTCTGGTGGGACCCAAGAAAAGAATAAATAGATCTCATCACCCTAAGATCAGTCGACTGATCTTAGGGTGATGAGGGCTAGAAGAGGGCTACAAAATTATACAATAAGTTTGCAAACGTTTGCGCCACTGTGACCGGTCCAGGTGGTTAATATAACGTTAAAACATATTTATTAACATTGAAGGTTATATAAAGGGTTTTTCATTTAGTGCGTCAGAACTTTTAAATGAGATAAAAAATAACTACATGTTATAATCCCGTAATCTATATTTTATTTTGAAGAACGATCGATGACATTATGTTTTAAATATAATATCGTTTAAATGTCCCCCTCGACTTTGCCTGACTGAATGCATTATGAAGGCCTAATTTCTACTATTCTTTTACAAATATCGCGTGGTATACTTTGAATAGTGCGTTTAATGTTTCGTTTAAGGTCGAGAATTGTTCGTGGCTTATTTTTGTAAACCTGAGATTTCACATGATCCTTTAGATGCACAAAAGTTGACTTATTTGCCAGTAAACCAGTTTTTTCTTAAACGATAAACCTTATATTTCTCGCAACTTGCAAAATGTTTGGCAAACCGAACATGCATTTTGATGGTAAATACGAATTATTTCTAAGCGCTGTTAAATTGTTATCTGTCCATATTAATTTGACACAATGTACTGAACACATGTGTTGTCAAGATTTGACATTTACATTCCAGAGCAGCCTTATTTTTAGGGCTAGCTAGGCAGAATATTGTCAAATGGGCGTCAGTATTAAAATCGCGACCAAATTTTGTATCGCCCATGCGATTTTGGCATTGGGCATGTCCAAATGCTTGGAAGGAACAAACCTCTTATTTCGTTTTATTTAAAAAAATAGCCATTCTTAATTAACTTTATTAATTTTTATTAAAATACAGATGTAAAAGTATACAAAATAATATTTTGAAAATATATAAATGTATTTTGTAAAAGGCATATTGCACCAAGAAAACTAACGTACGTACCCTTAATTATGGAGCTGCATTCCTCATTTAAAGTGGGAAAAAGTACATTTTAATTTGAGCAAATCATACCTGGAACTAATAAAACTCAACAAATATAATTTATTATTCTGTTTAACATATTCATTTTGTTTTAGCATATAATTTTTTGGTAGGTGGAGACGGTTCTGCCTACGAGGGTCGAGGTTGGACAAAAGAAGGATCCCACCAGTTCGGCTATAACAATCACAGCATTGGAATAGCCTTTATAGGCACTTTTATGAAATACAAAGCCCCGCAAATTCAAATCGATGCCTGCAAAAAACTCATACAGCAGGGTGTCGATCAAGGTTACCTTATTAAAGATTATAAAATTTTAGCAGCTCGTCAATTACAAACCACTGAGAGTCCAGGCTTGGCTTTGTATGAGGATATAATGACATGGCCTCATTGGTCCGAAACACCCTAAATAGTTTAGTTGTACAATTAAACGAAAAACGATATGTATTAAGACTGAATTTAAAATAATAATAGTATTTTAGTTGATTGTTTTATTCCAACCCCAACAACTAATTAATAATGTACCCTTAACTAATAATTAATATGTACCGTCAAGTGAGGTAACTTCGAAAGAGTTTTAATAATAATAATAATAATAATAATAATAATAATAATAATAATAATAATAATAATAATAATAATAATAATAATAATAATAGAGTTTATTGCCCAACAGTTTACACCATAGTAGGACATTCATATTATATAACAAAGAGGTTTACAAAAAAAAATATTAAAAAAAAATGTGAACAAACTTATAACTAAACTTTCAATCAGATTTATACATCGTTTGAATTTACAATGGCCCTGTGAATAGTTTTTAGTGAACAATAGTTCATATCACAATTAGTTGATATTTTATTAAAGTTATTAAACATAACATGTAAAGGTGATTTACTAAGTACATTGGTACGAGCAATCGGACACTTAAAGGTATGGTTCTGGCGACTACTGGTTCTGGGAATCAAAAAATCAATTTGACCTAACAGGTCAGAACAATCTATTTTATAATTTACAAGATTATACAAAAGAGACACTGACAAGATCTTCCTTCTGTTGTAAAAAGATACAAAATTAAACGAATTTAACAACAAAGCGTGTTCGTATCCTTGCGGAGGATAGAATCCTTGAAATTTAAAAAATAAAAACTTTAAAAAGCGTCTCTGTACAGACTCTATATGATTTATGTGGCAAGCATAAATAGGTGACCAGACCACACTCGCGTATTCCAATTTACTTCGCACTAGAGTAAAATATGGTAAATGCAATGTTTGGGTTGAGTTAAATCCCCTACTGTTTCTAATAATAAAGCCAAGTGTTCTGAAAGCTGATTTGGTAATATCATTCATATGAGAAGCAAACTCAAGTTGGGGATCGAATACCTCGCCAAGGTCTTTAAATGAACTGACTCTTTCTAAAGCAAAATCATTAATTTTATAGCTAAAGTATATGGTTTTCTTCTATGCACCATTCATTAAGTCTATTTAGGTCATCCTGTAGGGCTACGCAATCACCCACACATTTTATCTGCTGATACATTTTTAGATCATCTGCATACAACAGCTTGAAACAATTGATTTTATTAGGAAGGTCATTTATAAACCATAGAAACAGTAGGGGACCCAAATTGAAACCCTGCGGCACTCCCGAAGTGGATACAAAAGAATCTGAGTAAAATCCATTGAATGCGACAATCTGCCGTCTATGTGCACATCATGATAAGTAAGATGTAAGATAATAGTGTTATCAAATCCAAAATTACAAAGCTTACTTATGAGTATTGAATGATCGATTTGATCAAATGCTTTCTGGAAATCGGTATAAACAACGTCCAACTGCCCGCGATTATCAATGGTTTTACTGGCAAGTTGTGTGAAACTGACGAGATTGGACGAAGTTGATCTTTTTTCAATAAAGCCGTGTTGACTTGGTGAGAGCAGATGCTTAACTTGAGTGTATACTTTTGAGTAAATAATTGATTAAAAAATCTTTGCAAAATTATTAATAATTGATATGGGCCGATAATTTTCAACTTGGGAATTGCTACCTTTTTTTAAAACAGGGGTTATTTTTGAGATTTTCCATAAGCTGATTCTAAAATTTTATCAAAAATAATTAATAATGGGGTCAAAAAAGCGCCACAACAATCCTTCAAAAGAAAACTGGGAATATTGTCATTGTCATTACCTGCAGTCATTTTGTCTTTTAGATTTTTAATGGCATTTCTGATATCAATCTCCTTAATGCTGGACATATTTATTGTTTGGTAGTAATTGGGATCTACAATATCATAGTTATTATTAGAAAATGCACCAGAGTCTATATAAACACTACTAAAATAGGTTGCAAAAGCATTAACAATATCTTTGGGATGACTATACTCCAAGTTGTTAAAAGTGACCTTACCTGGGATACGTGAAGAACCCTTTTTAAAATTTATGAAAGACCAAAAAGATGTCGGGTTATTATTATTATTTTGTTCTATAGTTAACATATAACTTCTGTATGCATCTGATATTTGAGTTTTTACATTGGTCCTTGATTCCTTAAATAAGGTTAGGTTTTGTATAGGTTTAGATGTGTTTCTATATTTTTTGTGATAATGTTTTTTTTTGTTTAGATTTTGTATAATTTATCTATTAAACCAAGGGGGATAAACCTGATTAAAGTTTTTTTCAGGACACAAAAAAGTGGGAGGAGTAAAAATATAAAAGAAAAAATGTATGTTCATTGATACCTTCTTAATACACCCAGCAAGCACAAACATCCTCAGGATCCTATAAGGACTTCCTGAGGACGTCCATAGGTTGACCTTATCGGACATTAGATCTTTTTTAGGTCCCATTTTGGGATATCCTAGGAACGTCATTTAAGGATGTCGTTAGGACCTAATAATATCCTAATTAAAGCCTAAAATGGGCTGATCATAGGACTAATCCCAGAGACATCCTCAGAATGTCCCGTTAGGTTTTGGTAAACATTTGGTATGCACATTTTTCTATAAGAATATTTTATCCATATAATTAATAATACCTACATTTTTTTACTTATTTTGCATAGGCAAATCTTAAAAATGGCAATAAATATAATTATAATATTACATTATATAGATTTTTTTAAGTTTATAAACGACTTGCATACTATATTTTTTCTACGACAATCACAAAAATTAAATAACTTTTAACAATTATATATAAATAATTATTTATAATATCTGACATCGACCAGTCTATTCTTACCTGACTTTTTAGACCCTTTATTTTGATGGTCATTGTTTCGCAGTTGACAACTGCAATTAACTTCAACCCGTGACTAAAACGCCATAAAGCCACAACTTGTAAATGTGTATTTAAAATATCATGGAAACATGTACGATAATCGGCGTTTTAAAGGCGGAAGTTTAAAAACAATATTATATTTTGTGTATTTGTTATATGACCACAAAATATATTTTGTATACAACTGGATAGCAGCCAACTTAATACGCATGCGCAGAAATGACGACTGGTAATTAATAATTGTTCAAACACCTTGTTTGTAAGGTATTGATACATTTAGAGTTTTATAAACAATAAATAAGGTAGTAAGCGTCAGTTAACCTTAAAAATGTAATTACAAACGCAATCTATAACTTATTTAATAGTTTGTGTTACCAATTGTTTTAAATTTGCCGCCATACGTTATGGTGGTAACCATTGTATATGGTGGTAACACTGGATGGAGAGAAAGCTAAGATGACGTATAGCGTCCTTTAGTTGTTTGGCGCCTTTTTGTTAGAAAGAATCATAGATAACACTGTGAAAGGAATTCTTTGTCTGTGCCGTGAATTCTTTTTCTGTGTCCTGAACCTGGTTTAAGGCCGTGAATCTCGTGTTCTCCAAGTGTGTTTGTTATAATATAATATTATTATAGTGTTCTCTTCGAAATAAACCTTAAATATATTAGTATACTAATTTGCTTGAAGATTGAAGTGAACAACAATCCATATTAAGTTGTCTTTTCATTTAATAAAATGTTATTTTTGTAATTACTTCAGAAACCTGATGTTCAATTGTTATTCTGTCTTAACCATTTTAATCAGAAGAAAAAATGCCACTAATTTGCTAATTTAACCGACTTTGTATCTGCAATAATAATGGAGTTAAAATGGTGAGTAGATAACTTTGGACACTGTGTATATATAAATAATATAACTATTATATTTATTTAGAATTATTATTTATTTTACTTTTATAATAGGTGTTTATTTTTTATTTTATATAATTGGCTGTGTAAAATTATATATATGTATACAGAATTAAAATAATATATTTTATAAAGTAATAAAATGGTATTTGATTTGATTTAAAATGTATCCCCAACAAATAACAAGGCCATTTAGAGGATGTCCTCAGGACATCCCATTCCTGGACCTACATATACCCATGGGACTTTCAGGGGACATTCTTAGGATGTCCTATTCCTGGACCTATATGGACCTAGGGATATCCCTAGGATATCCTAAAGGCCATTTGCGGGACGTCTGTAGGCTGGCCTTTTTTGCACCACTCGGCCATGGTTGGGATGTCCTGAGGAGGTCTGAGGACGTCCTAGGATATCCTTGGGATATCCTAATATCCTGTAAGGCTTTCCTTAAGACAGACTTGTGCTGGCTGGGCATATTTCAGATATATTATTTTTATTGAAGGCATGTATTTTTTTATTTTAAATTGCAGGTAAATCGAAGTAACCCATGCATTTGGTAAATTCGGAGGCCAAAAATATTAAAATAAAGGTTATTAAATGGTTTTTAATGTACTATTTGTAAAAAAAATAATACACGACATTTAAATAAAAACGTTTATTGACCAGAAAATACAAACTTTTTAAAGAAAATGGAAAACAAAATAAACAATATCAGAACATAAACATAATAGTATATTCTGTAACAAGTTTGGAATACAGCATATTCCGCTCGAGTGAAGAGTTTGTCACACGAGCCGAAGGCGAGTTTGACGGTTTCACTAGAACGGAATATGCAATTCCAAACGTGTTTCAGACTATACTTTTTCTACGTTTCCAAAAAATACCATAGAAAATTAATTTAATTGGAAGAAAGTGAGGTTGGATCGGTCTAAAATTTGTTAGATATTAAAAACAGAGATGTCGCCACGAGTTTATTCTGTCATCAGATGATTGAATATTTCATTCTGTAACACTTTACGGAATATAGGTATGTCATTCCATAGATAAAAGTGATATTAGAAGGTTCAAATATATTTTTTCTACTCCTATTACGGAATATGACCATGAATAAATAAGTATTATACTATTTGAGTAAGTTATGTACTTTTATGTAAATAATATTATTGATGAAAAAACAGTTGGTCATTGTCTTTTTTCTGAAATACTAATTGTAGTATATCTGCAACAATATGCACTATATGCCTTACAAAGGTGACATTTTCTATCCAA